CTAACAAAGCTTAAACATAATCCTTAAGAATAAAAAAAATATCATGTAAGAATAAAAGGTAAAATACTACCAAAATCCTGTTGCCATAATGAAATAATTAGGGAATAGTAATAATTTTGTCAATAAATTCAATAATCATATGAAATGGACAGATTCCATGAAGGATAGCAATTAGGAAACCTGACACACTGATGTGAATAAAATTTAAATTACTGAAAAATTTTAATTCATCATTGAAAGTCTTCACACAAAGACAACTTCATGCCCAAATGGCTTCACTAGTGAGTGCTTTGAAACATTTAAATATAAGTAATATTAATCTTACACAAATATTTCCAGCAAATAGAGATGGGAACAATCCAACTCATTCTAGGAGCCTGCATTCAACCAAAACTATACAAAGTTATTATGAAAAAGAAATCTATTCACTAGTATTCATCACGAACATAGAAATTCTTGCCTGAATACTGACTTGAACCTGACAATATGTAAAAAGGATAGTACATCATGAACAAATGGGGATTATTCCAAGATTGCAAGACTGGTTCTATGTTTTCAAATGAATCAATGTAAAACACCATGTGAGCCAAATAAGAAGAAAAATCATATGATCATCTCAATACATGCAGAGAAAAAGTATTTGTTGGAAATTCAACACTGATTCATAATAAAAAGTATTAAAATGGGTATTTACAAAACCTATAGCTACCAACACACTGACATGTGGACAGACTACTTTGCAATAAAGTCAGAATACAAGGTTGGTCACTCTTACCACTTCTATTTGACAGGTCTGTTTGGCACAATTTATATATATTGAACTTTGTGCATTTAAACTCAAGTGTTAGTTCTAGTACTTTTTTCGTAGATTCTTTTGGATTTTCTAAAAGGCAATTTCCAATATGATTCCATATTTTATAAAAAAATACAAAAACAGACAAGACTCATTCATGCTGTTAGAAGAATGTCTGGTACTTGGTAAATACTCAATAAATGTTAATTATTATTTTATTTGATTTACATTTGAAATTAAGATTACTGGGTCATGCAACTGTAGTATACATATACCTTATGGTAATGACTGCCCAAACTCTTACAAATATACAAGATTACTATGGAAATTTTCTGCCACATCTTCAGTAAAAGTGAATTTTCTGGATATAAAAAGTTATCTTAAACTCACATAATCCATATGTTTAGAGTAAATCACACTAAGTTATTTGTTTTCCAAGTAATTATTTTTTTCTTGTTTTGGTATAATTAACATATGGTGAAGTGTATTAATCTTATGTACATAGTACATAATTGACAAATGCATAAACCTACGTAGCTAACACTTCCATCAAAATATAAAACATTGCCATCACCTCAAAGTTCCCAGGTGACCCATCCCAGTGACAGTTCTCCCACAAGACAACCCAATATTATTGTACAAGACAATCTGTTATTATCACAGACGAGTTTTGCTTGCTTTAGAACTTCACATAAATGAACTGTATAATCTGTTGTTTTCTGAGCCTGGTAGCTTTCTCTCAGCTTAATGTTAATCTTTTTATTTTATTGTGGTAAGAACACTTAACATGAGATTTACCCTCAGCAGATTTTTAAGTGCACAGTAGAGTACTGTAGACTATAGGTACCATGGTGTACAGCATCTCTTTAGACTTTCTTCATCTTGATTAACTGAATATTATACCTGTTGAAAAGCAACTTCCTGTTTCCCCCTCATCCCAGTCTCTGGTAACCGCCTTTTTCTCCTCTGCTGCTATGAGTTTAAGTGCTTCAGATAATTCATGTGCATGGAGTCATGCTGTATTCGCTCTCCTGTGACTACATTATGTCTCTTAACATGGTGTCCTCAGATTCATTCACATTGCATATTGCAGAATCTGCTTTTTTTAAATACTAAAGAATATCCCACTGTATGTATAACCTCCATTTTCTTTATCCCTTTATTTGTCCATGGATATCTATGTTACTTCCGCATCTTGGCAATTGTGAATACAGCTGCAGTGAATATAAGTATGCTAAAATCTCCATGAGATGCTGATTTTACTTCTTTTGGAGAAATACCTAGACATGAGATTGCTGGATCATATGGTACTTTTAGCTTTTTTACCATACTGTTTTCCATAATAGCTACTTCATTTTGTATTCTCACCAACAGTCTGGGAAAGGTAGTAAAGAACTGATTAGTCTGAAAAAAGGAATGTATCATAGAAGTCAGGTCTAAATGATCAAAGAAATAAAGCCCTTTTTAGCCTCTCCCACATAATAGGTAAGAATATAGACAGTTGGCAGGATTTTTCCAAATGTTAACCTTAGTTCCTTTCTTCTAGTTGTTCAGAACCACCAGATCATCCCCCATGCTTCAAACAGCAAGGCACTTTGCCAGCCATTGCTTCATGTTAGAGATGTGACATAAAGTAGAAACAAAACCTAGATTTGATGTTTATAGATCTTAGAGAGCATAGAGAATTCAAGGCATAGATAGGAGTTTGCAGAGAAACATCAGGACTTTTAGAAATGTGGACTGCCCTCTAAGATCCAAAGAAAATCCCCAAGCTAGGGGAAGATGGCACAAGTATTGATGAGATGATTGGGGAGGTCAGTAATGTAGACAGAGAAGGGGCAGCATCGGAGGAGATCAGAACAGAAATTAGGATTGTGATGTTCAGGGCTGCTCTGAGCAACTTTGTTGCGCTGTCTAGGAGCTTCATAGAAGCTTTTTTCCCCCAGATTTTATCTAGCAAGCTTGATGTGTGAGCTACACATGGAGGCAAAGCCAACAGTCTTTCTCCTCAGTATCATTTGTAATCTACTTTTCAACGAAAGCCAGCATCTCACCAAGTGTCATATTTATATGCTTAGCCAATGTGGACATCTTTAGCAGTATCAGGGGGCAGTTAGGAACCCAAAAGAAGAGGGGGTGGCATTGTGGTAGTATTGACCTGAAAGCTGCAATAAATAGACCTGTGAATTGAAGGGAACCATTTCACCTTTGGGCCAGGATATTGGTTAAATGCTCTTACCCACCAATCCCATCCTTCCATTAAAAACAGTAGCACTATTAATATATTGTCAACTAATCAAAGTTAATGAAAACCAAGGGTTTTTTTGTTTTGTTTTGTTTTTCCTTTTTTTACACTGGGACCTGAGGGCACTTTGGTAGCATGACATGCTCTTCCCAAGGTGAAACTTTTATATTGGTTGGAGGGTAAGAACATGACATGGATACAGGGTCCTTATTTCCTTTGTGTGTATGTGTGTGCGCATGCACACGCGTGCACGAGACAGAGAGAGAGAGAGAGAGAGAGAGAGCCAGTGCGAGAGCGCGTGCAAGAGCGAGAGAGTTGTGTACTACAGTATAAGCTAAGAATATAAGCTTTGCAACAGACCCAGGTACTAATTCCAGCTTTAACTAGATTTGTGTCACTGCACTAAGTTACTTAAAACTCTCTCAGCTGCCCCATCTGTAAGTAGGGCTAATCTTACTTTCCTTGTCAGATTGTAGTGAATATTACAGACAATAGTTTGATACTTGATAGTAAAACCACCTATTACAAAGTTTGACACATAGAAGACATTTAGTAAATGGAATCATTAATGAAAATTCCCTCAGCTGAAGTGCCACCATTGAAAATTCACTCCTTTGGATTTAATGAGCTGCTCAAACAGTCATTCCTAGACAATATTGTAAAATACATAAGTTGTCTTTAGCATGCACATTTACACTTTCTGCCCTTCTGTCCTTAAATTAGTTTTTGGGTAAAATGCTGGCAAAGATGTGGTAAAGGAACTCTCCTACATTGCTGGTGGGAGTGCAAACTGGTCCAACCACTATGGAAAGCTGTCTGGAAGTTCCTCAGCCTACTAAAAATGGAGCTACCATACAACCCGGCAATTCCACTACTAGGGATCTATCCAAAGGACACAAAAACATTGATGCAAAAAAACACCTGTACCCCTATGTTTATTGCAGCACTATTTACAATAGGTAACACCCGGAAACAATCCAAATGCCCAAAAATAGATGACTAGATCAAGAAGATGTAGCATATATACACAATGGAATATTATCCAGCAATCAAAAATGATAAACTCATGCCATTCGCCGCAACGTGGATGAAACTAGAAGGAATTATGCTCAGTGAAATAAGCCAGAAGGAAAAGGAAAAATATCAGATGGTTTCACTTATAGCAGGAATATAGAGGAGCCAAATAAGACATCAGTGTAAAATAATTAACAGTACAAAACACAACAAAGCAAAAACAGACAATTATATATCAGAGACATCCTGCAGGGGAAGAGGCGGGAGAGGGATCAGAGGGAGGGAGGGAGGAGTATAGGGGGCTGTGGTGATGGTGCACGGGTGCATTGGTGAAGGACTCTATGGGGACTACACCTGAGGGAGTGGGGGCAAACAAATGTTGTTTAAAAATGAACAAATAAAAAATAAAAAAATTAATAAAAAAGAAGAAAAAAATAGTTTTTGGCTAGAGAGAGATCAGCGAATGCTTAGGAGAAAAGTGGAACTAAGGATAATTCCCATTTCTATTTTAGATTGGTGACTTCGAAAGTCAAGTGACAGATGTGACATACCAAAGAACTTATTTTTCCAGAAAATGAGGTGGATCAGGCATACAATATAAATTTCCCTAATATTATGATAGAGTTAGTGCATTATCATTTAAGTACTACTCTTCAAATATCACTAAATATTTACATGTGCCTTCTCCCAACTTCATGTATTTCTGATTACCTTAATCATTTGTTACTTTCTCCAACATTAACTATAAAAAATGAGAGATGGCTTTTAGTTAAAAAAATTTTTCGAGAACATAGTAATGTAGAACAGCTGCAGCCATGAATTTTATGAATGCTTTGTTGAAAATAACATTAAATGGCAAAATCATTTCACAGATTAGCAGCAATGTTTTATGCTACATGGAAAATACATCATTCTTAATCATGATAGTTAAAACATGAAATAACTTACCTTGATTTTTATGGGATAGAAACCATCATCATCTTCAACATTTTCATCCTTTTACAGAAGACGTAGTATATGGAGAGTACTGTGCACGAAGCTGTGAATATCAAGACAACATTTTTATTCTTAGAGAAGTTAAAAATCAATTAGGAAATGGCTGTTTGGACAAATCTGAGAGTACTGTATCAGCATCCCTTGATTAGTAAGTCTCCCTGGTTGTTAGACATTATTTAGGCCCTGTACTCCCCAGTCCTCTATACAGAGCAGATATCCCCACACACCCCAACCACCTACTTTCTGACCTTTAGTAAATACAAATTTAAGGCTTTTCAGAACCAGTTTTGCAAAATTATGGCTGACAAGTCAAAAGAAGCCCTGAAGGGCCTCCCTGGTGGCACAAGGGGTTGAACACCTTGCTACAGGGCAGTCCGCAGCCTCTGCAGCACGGGTTCGATCCCCAGCCGGCCAGGGAGCAACCCACATGGTGAGGCAGACATCTCCTGTCTCACCCGCTGCTCCCCTCAGCAGTGTATTTCGGTCAGTCTGCCTGTTCTGTTCCCCACTCTGGTGAATCCTCTCACCCCCTGCGTCTCTGGCCTGTACCCAGCTCTTGTATGATAAATAAATAAATCTTAAAGAAAAAAAAAGCCCTGAAACAGATTTGTGATGACCTATACATATTTTAATTTACTCTTTGAATTCATTGTTCCTATTTTTGAATTGTTTTCTTTCACATTAAAATTGCAATTCTCAGCCTCTCATGCAGTATCAGAGATCTGGCAAAACTAGACCCATTTTCCATATTACAACAATATACTGTTGTTCAATAGAAGCAGCCCTCTTTAGACAGGAAATAGGATGTCCATTTCTTTCCAGTCCTTACCACTCCTTTTTGTTCCTTACACCTGGCTTGCTCCACTCCCTTTACCTCTCACTCTCCTTAGGCAGTTGACTCTGTGACCCATGGTTTAGCCACACTCTCAAGACTCAGCAAGAAATCTCACTCTAGTCCAGCTCAGACCTAGATTTTTCCTCCTTTTTCTTGCCACACTCCTGTCTCAGAAACCTTCTATGACTGACAACTGACTTTCTGGCTCTTACCCCCATCCCAATAATCTTTTTTTCTGAAAACTATATCATTTCCCCAAAGTAGTAACTCAGGCCCTACTTAAAATCACTGAATAACTGTGTTTACCAATTGCCACTGGATTTAATGCAATCAATACTGATGAAAAGATGTAATCCACCTGGGTAGTTACATGGAAAAACTAATTCTATGCATATATAATCTTATACAAGTTTTCATTAACCTTTGAGCCAAGCAACAAATTCAACAAAAACAGTGTCTTCAAAATATGTTAGAATAGGCAGGGTCATGGAAAGGGGGGGGGGGGCGCACTACACTCACACACACATTTGGAGAGAGATTTTATTTTATTTTAAAGATTTATTTATTTATGCATACAAGAGCTGGGGTACAGGCCAGAGATGCGGGGGTGAGAAGATTCACCAGAGAGAGTGGGGAGCAGAACAGGCAGATCTACTGAAATACACTGCTGAGAGGAGCAGCAGGCGAGTCAGGAGAGGTCTGCTGCGCCATGTGGGTTGCTCCCTGGCCGGCTGGGGATCGAACTCGTGCTGCAGAGGCTGCAGATTGCTTCACAGTGCGGTGCTTAACCCATTTCACCACCAGGGAGGCCCCAGATTTTATTTTTTAACTCAATGTATAGGGCCTCCCTGGTGACTTAGGGGTTAAGTCTCAGCGCTATCACCACTAAGGCCTGAGTTTGATCCCTGGCCAGGAACCTGACCCACATATGGGGCAAAACTCTCCTGTCTTGCCCACTGTTCCTCTCAGCAGTGTATTTCAGTGAATCCACCTGCTCTGCTCCCCACTCTGTTTCTGGTGAATCTTCTCACCTTCCACACCTCTGGCCTACACCTCAGTTCTACACAAAAATAAATAAAACATATAAAAAATAAAAACTACGGCAGAAAATGCATCAACTTTCAGTATAAGCAAACAATGATTTGCTCATTTACAGAAAGAGAAATGGTTGGCGTAACATGTGAGTACAGGGAAAACTGTGAGTACAGATAAAGGTTACCACTAATGAGTATAGTTCCACTTGTAAGCATCACTGTGGAACCAGATAGCAAAACAAATCTTCCAGCAATTTGGATCTCCTTTTCATGTTCTACTTTGCTAATAGCGGCTCATCCATTCCTCCCACAATTTTATCTTAGCTCCCCTCCTGTGCATTCCCATTGTTCTGTTCTTCTAAGACTTAATATATTAAATTATTGGGCCTCCCCGGTGGCGCAGCGGTAGAGCGCTGGGTTGCGAAGCTGCCCGCAGCCTCTGCGGCGCCGGTTCGATTCCCGGCTGCTCCCCGGCCACCGGAGGAGGGTCCCACATGGTGCGCAGACCTCTCCTGCCACCCGCTGCTCCCCTCAGCAGTGTACTTCGGTCCTTCTGCCTGTTCTGCTCCCCGCTCTGGCTCTGGTGAATTCTCTCACCCTCCCGCGCTTCTGACTGTGCCCAGTGCATGTATAAACAAAACAAATGAACAAACAAATAAATAAATAAATAAAACATGCCTCTATTAAAAAAAAAATAAAATAAAATAAAAATAAAAAAATAAAAAAAAAAATATATTAAATTATTTACCTGCCTCTCCCTCTGATTGTTGAGCTTTTACAGGGCATGACATATATCTCTCAAGTGTCTAGTCCCATATCTGGCATGGCATAGGCATTCTGTAAGTATGGTTCAACTCGTTACTGAAAATGGAATTATTTCTAGGTCCTCTCCTGAGAGTTGGTGCCCACTTCTTAACCCCTCTTAATAACCAGAGTCCAATTAGCTACAAGATTTCATTGTCTAGCTGTCTACAAGAATATCTTTATATCACCATCCAATGGAATCATATCATGCTGCACTGTTCATCTGTGAATGCATTCCTGTTACTTAACTTGCTAAAATGTCAAATTCAATGTCACCATTCTTTCTTGTTCTATAAAATGCTGAGATTTTCTGTAAGAATTTTTAAATACCTGAGATATGAGTAGTTTGAATGGCACTTTAGTGACACCTTAGTTCTCAAAGTCCATTATCTGAATGGTAGTTAAACTTGATATAAAAGAGTGATTCAATTGAGCTGTTTCTACTGAATGTGAATAAGATAATTATTTATTCTTATTGTCACTCTCCTCTAATTGTCAGCACTTTCTTCTTGTAAAATCCCAGAGAGGCTATCAAATGCAAGACTAATTTAAATTTTCAGTGGGTTTTTTTGTGTGTGCATTTGTGTATGTGTCTGTTTTACTATTTCTGCTCCTGTAGATATTTCTTAGATATACTTGACGAATCTACATTTAGCCCCTCCAATGGAAGGCAGAAATCAGTGACTACAGGAATCCAAAGTAGGATACAAGTAGTACAGCTGCTTTGTAAGCTTGAATATACAAGTATTGCTAGAATTAAGGAATAGGTATCTTCAAGTTGATCACTCACCAGCTAGCATTACCACATGTAGATGTTTATTTGCCAGCTATTACTACTTTATAAAAGCATTATCCACATGCTTTCTGCATAGAATAAAATCAGATCCTACAAAGATCCCCACATTTCATGAAACCACTAGGTAACAATCTAGTCCCCATTCTAGAGGCTAATAAAGGACAATAACTATCTTTATGAGATTTCAAAAATATAAATATTTGGACCAGTTTTTCCAGAACAGGCAAAAAAGAAAGAAATCAACCCAATATCTCCTCAGATTTTCACAAAGAAAGGATATTATCTGTTTGCCTCACTACTGACCTTGGGTAATTGTCAATGAGGCTTCCTGCCAAATGATGCTGCAGTTGGCCGATTTGTAGTGAACACCCTCCTGTCTTTTTGATGATCTGCCACTGTCAGCTTCAAATGAATCCCTGGCACAAATAGTCAGTTTGTGTGGTCTGCCAAGCCAGTCCCTTTGTCACTTCAACAACATACTTGAAATGTCATATGCATTCAAGGCCCTCACGGGGTTCTTACCTGACCACCTTATTTCTGGCTATTTTCCTATAGCAATTAGCTCCACATCTGTGATTTCTATAATGGCAGAAATTTAGTCAGATCATAGTGATTCAGTTTACCTCTGTTTCCCTATCATGTACAACAGTACCAGGTATATAGAAAGTACTGAAAAATATTTGTTGATCAAATGAATAATCACAGCACCCATTTCAATTTCACTGAAAAATACCAAGCTACACACTGCTAAGTACTTTACATATCCTTAGTGTACCTCATGAATATTACTATAAAATAGGTACTATTATTCCTGTTTTTAAAGGAAATTTAGAATCAGAAAAGTTAGTTTTGCTTAGGAAGGCTACACTTATAATTATTAATATATCAGTATTCCATAAGGAAGAAAAGGAATTTAACTTAGGAAATTAACATATCCTATGCCTATGGAGATAAATAAGGAGTCGACATTTACTGAAAACTTTTTATAACAGGCATTACTAGACAGTGTATAACTTTAAATTTCACAAAAACCCTGTAGTACCCTAAGAGTACCTGTGATTGTTCTGTTATTATTCCAGTTGTTATAGATTAAAAACTGAGCGAGGCACAGAGCAGGTGAGCAATTAGCCCTATGTCTCACAGCTGGTAAGAGACAGAGCTTGAATTCAAACTTGGTTAGTCTGGCTTCTGGGACAAAATCCTAAAAACATCTGAGTGGAGACACTACCGTGGAGTAGAGAGAAAGGCGAAAGAAGTCATGTTTGATGAATGCTATAAAATGTTTAGGGAATTACCCATTTTATATAATGCAAAAAAATGAATCTATTTTCTATTATCTTCAGTTTGTAGATGAAACAAAGGCCGAGAGAAGTTTCCACGCCAAGGTCACACAGCTTGAGAGTACTCTAATTTCAAGGTCCATCCCATTTCCATGAGCCCTATGTTAACTGAACTAAGAACTGAGAAGAAAAACTAACCAAGTATAACCAATTTAAGGGAAGCCTAGACTGTAAAGACCAGAGCACAGGAACTGAACAAAATAAAAACAAGAAAATTTAAGA